ATGATATTTATAATGAGTATGAAAGTCCGGAAATTTGGCGGAAAATTTTTTGAATATCTAAAAATAGATCGGCAAAGCGGATAAATATTTTACCATCAAATATTGAGAGGTAGTGGTAGTTTTTAAATTGATTAATAATAAATTTGTAAAGAAAACTCACGTAACACATAAATTACTACCTGATCCCGGGCATTGTTACACAACTTTAATTTTTATCCAACAAAATCAAATTGGGTTGTTTGGATTACATATTATTAGTGCCGTCATTTTCAAGGCAAAAATCCAAAATATCAAAAATGTGCGCATAAAGCATACAATGGCGATTATAAATAATGCAACAAAAAATTTTTTTAAATCAAATATTTCACACAATTCTTAGATTTATTCAATTTTTTTTTATTTTATTCACAAATAGTATCTTTTTTAAATATTAAAATTTTAATAACTTTTATTATTGTCAATGCAAAGATAATAGTGTATTTATTACAAATCACATGTTGCATTATTTTTGATTATTTTTGACGATCAGATGATTCATACTGTGCTACCTAAGTACATGCTAAAGTATAAATTCATTGTTATTCTTGCATCTTTGTACAATAATAAAACACTTGACAAAGTTTTGACAAAATATATAAGAGTAAGTCAATAAAAATCAAGCAAATTGTTTTTATTGAAAATTTTTTGAAACTTTAAACAATAATAATTCAATATAAATTTAATCAAATTTAATAAATTTTCTTTAAAATGAATGTTAAAACTTGTAATATTTATTTTAAAAAGGTTTTATTATCTTTGTTTAATGTTTCAAAAACATTTATTTAAAAAAATTTGTTTGATTTCTATTAACTTATTCATATATATATATATATTTTTTACAATTCAAATCAAACTAAATTTCTTCATACTATAAAGATAATATGTTACAAAAATAAGAAATTAGTTATATAATATTAGTTTTTATAGTTTTTTTGTCTATAAAAGCTGTTATATATTATATTTATAAAGAATTAATAAAGATTAATTGTCTATTTATTAAAGACAAGCAAAACCAATCAAGAATACTAAATTAAAAATAATCTTAACTGCTATTTAATTATTGATTAAATATAATTTTATTTTAAAAAAATAATAGTATTTATAATTCAATAGTTATTATTTTTTATATATTTTAAAATTACAAACTAATATTAAAAATTAAATAAAAAATATATAATAACAATAGTTAAGCATTAATTTAAAAATAATTATATCAAGGCTTTATATTAATTATTTTATTTTTTAACTTTTATTATTATTTTTTTTTAAAAAATTTAGTTAACTGTCTATATAGAAGTTTATTATTTTAATTTTGAATAAAAGAATCTTTGGGTATGATTTAGGTAACTTGATAAGAAATTAGTATTGATACTTGTATTAACTTGATATACTCTTCAAAAAAACAAATTTAGAATATTAGTATAATATAAAATAAATATAACAAAATAGTAATAATTACATAAATTATTAAAATGAAATTAACAAAAATTTATATACAAAAAGAAGTTCTATTTTATATTTATATTATGTTTATATAAGTAAAAATAATGTAATATATTTTTTAAACCAAAGCTCATATTTGTAAAAAATTTGATATATTTGATACTTTATAAATTATAATTTTTAAAAACTATATAGTATTTAGAAATAAAATTAAAAAAATCTGCAAATTAGTTTGAAATTACATAAACTAATTTATTCTAATTAACAATTTTTTTGTTGCATTGCTTATGATCATCACTATATAGTTTATTATATATATATTAAATTTATCAATATAAATTTTATTTAAATTATTTTTATAAATTATATATATAATGTATAAAATTTACATATTTTTAAAACTTTATATATATAACCTTTATAGTACATATTTTGGATTGCTAATAATCTTATTTATTTAAAAAATTCTATGCTAAATTCTTTTTTAAAAAAAATAAAATAAAAAGATTAAAAAATTTTTTAAAAATAAGAATGTATTAATTAAAGTTAACTTACAGATTATCTAAATGATTAATAAATATAAAATTTTACTTAATAGATATTATTTAATTGGTTAATTTATTTTATGAATATATAAGTAATATATTTAAGTAAAATATAAATTAATAAGAAATATATAATATTTTATTAAATTTTTACTTAGTGTTATAAATATTAATTTTAATACATATCAAGAAATTTTATAATTAGACTATAATCAACTAAAAAAACTATTAATATTATATGACTGATCTTTTATTCAATATACATCATATAAAAAAATTATTTACAAAACTAGATAATTCTATTACAGGATTTGTAAATCAAGTCCGTACAAACAGACAGTCAAATTTGTACAAGCAGACAGTCAAATTCGTATAGGTAGACAGTCAAATTTGTACAAGCAGACAGTCAAATTTGTACAAGCAGACAGTCAAATTTGTACAAACTAACAATCAAATTCGTAAAAAAATTGACAATCAAATTCATACAAACTGACAACCAAATTCGTACAAGTTGACAACCAAATTCATACAAGTTTATAAATTTATTGACACCAGTAAATAAGATATGAAAATATGTTTGCTATATAGTGGAAGAGCATTATAGATTGCTTGCATGGTTTCAGGTTATTGTCATATTTTTATAGGCATAAGATCTGGATAAAGTGCAAGATTCTCAGAATTATTATATATATGGGTCATTTTATTATTTTTAGTTCAAGTTTTTTCCTTGCCAGCACTTATATATATCCAAATATTTTTCAATATGAGTAATATATTTTATTATGATGTGCACAATAGGTAAGCTTATAATAAATATATATTTAGTTATGCAGTTGACAATTTATTTAATAAATTAGATAGCTGTGTGACATAGTTACACTTAAACCAGAAATGTACCGTAATATAATTCACTCTTCATATAGTCATTCTTATGTAGGTTAATTAGTATCTAATGCTAAACGAATAGTGAGTATAAACAACTTATTATCGAAAAATAGGGTAAGTATCGCTTTATTTAGTTCAATCGATTACTTGAAACAAAAGCTGTCACACTTTATTTAATCTTGTTTTACTTATATATATATATTTTGACTCCTTCATTATATCATTAATTAATCACATCTTACTATATTCTTAAACTGATTACATACTTTTAAATTTACTATTATACTATCCTATACTAATGATCTCTGTGTAATAAATTAAGGCAATTCCTACAGGTGCAAGATCATGTGCTTATGACATAACAATGACTGGCATTACTAAAATATACTTAAACTCTAACCTTAAATCAGGCCGGATATTGTGCCTATAAGTTAAGGTAAATGTTGTGACCTAGTTGTGATCATAGTTTTGAGTTCTGCATGGCTGGGCTGGATGAAGTCCAGAACAAATTTATATTTAATTAGATATATCCAAGCCTAGCTCATAATCACATGGTATAATCCATAGATTCCAAGAGCACAAACTATAAACGATTTATTTTTAAATTAAGCTTGGGTTCAAAATTTTAACATCATATAAAAAGGAAAATGATGAGATTTATGATTTTGGTCAATCAGATTAATTATGGGCTACCTATAGATCTTTGGATTAGACTTAATTATCCATAGACAAAATTTTTGAACTAAGCCTGGCCAACATTGGACCAGTTTATGGATGCTCTATAGATAGCCCAGCCTATATAGAACCCTAGTTGAAATTAAGACTAGAATAGATGTATAAATAATTTTGAGATGTGTGATCTGGATAATATGGATGTAAAGCAATATGTATTTAAATGATATAGATTACACAAAAATATGAATTCAAACAATTGTATAGTGTTATGCCAGAAAAGAAATTTAATAATCAATTTTCTTACCAGGAACAAAGTGATGAAATCACAAATACCAGGAACGAAGTGATGAAATTACAAATACCAGGAATGAAGTGATGAAATCACGAATACCAGGAATGAAGTGATGAAATCACGAAGTACCAAGGATGAATTGATGAAATCACAAAGTACCAGGGACAAAGTGATGAAATCACAAAGTACTAGGGACGAAGTGATAAAATCATGAAGTATATGGAGTTGAGAAAAAAGTGCATGCGGCCCCAAAATCTAATTTCCTATTGGTTAGTGTCATCATAATTGTCACATCTTGTAAATTTTCACCCTTATTAAAATCACTACTTATCTTTGTCAAAGCCACTATACTTCTAAAACAAACACCCACAGTTGAAGTCACTGCTAAGTTATGAACTTATATTACAAAATCTCGAATTCACTTATTAAAATCTTTATTATTGCTTGAATCATAAACTTATTGTTTAAACTACTAATTTATTCACTATTAAAATTAACCCATCAATAAATATTAAAAGCACTTTTTCAATAAGCAAATCACTAACCAATTTTTAAAATTACCAATGCTCATTGTTAAAATTAACTGTTCTACAGTTGAAATTATTAATCACCCATTGTTGCAAATCACTAACTTACCTATCTATTTTTGCAATAATGAGCATATTGAACCCATTATTAAAATCACAAAATATAGAAAGCAGACAATTAAATCTTCACAGTATCAAAATATTAGTATAGATTGTCCATTATTCATAAAACATGTTAATCACAATTCTTTAATGTTTATTGACTATGTATATACATAATTAATATTTTGATAAGATCCATATTTGTTAACTATCATCTTGCATAGTAATTACACTGAATTACCAATAGGGATTTCAAAATTAACAAATAAGTGATGTATTTCAAAAATAAGTGGGATTTTTTTAATAGTATTTTTATTATATTGAATATAAATCGAAAAATAAAATAATATTCTCTGATTTTAATTTTGAAAACCCCTAAAATTATTAATTACAGCATATTAGAATTCTTAAAATTTTCATTAAAATTTTTTTAATAAATAGTAAAAAAGGTTTTATATAAATATAAAAAATTTTTACATGTTTGTCCTAATAATGTCTCAACAAAATAAAAAAAGAAAACCTAAATATCAAAAAATTTCTTTACAAATAAAAAACCAAATTATAGATAATGTTAATAATAAAGGTTTACCAATTCGAGAGGTTGCAGCTAATTTTCAATTAGCAGCTTCAACTGTACAAAGTATTATCGAAGTTTTTGATTGAGAAAATCGAATTGCTCCCAAATCGCGAGGTGGTAACAAAAGATCTATTTTAAATGAACAACTTAAAGAATTTTTAGAAGCTGTGATTGAAGAAGAACTATGGATTTCTATTTCAGATCTAGCACAAAAATTAGTAGATCAATTTCCGAATATTCAGGTATACCAATACTTTCAATTTATATATGTACAGTTAGCTCCAAAAGTATATCATGGTTATATGAAAATAATATACAAATCAACAATAAAATATTACAACTGACTCTTGATATAAAAGTTACCAGATCTAACCCAAATCCTTCTTATATCAAAGACTTAAAATTTTCAAATAGAACTTGTAAAATCTTTCTTATGCCAAGAGTTTCTTATATTGACCATTTCTTATATTGAGAGTTACTTGTATTTATTATTGCTCAATCAGAGACTTTATTAATAAAACAAAGAAAAAACATATGGAAATAGGTCCGCTATCCTAAAGGCTCCTAATTGTACTAAAGTTACTGTCTCAAATATAATCTCATACCTTTAAACCTTTGAACCCTAGTCTGAACAGTTTCAAAACTGTTATCCCTCAGGTTCAACAGTAATGGGACCATTTCAAATCAATTTGTTAATAAAACATATTCTAAGAAAGGAACTAGCAGATTAGATAGCAATATACAGAGGATCGAGTCTATAATACTAATATACACTTAATTAAGCATAGTCTCTACATTGCTAATGCAGCCTCGAAACCAAGCTTATTTGAACTGCAGTGTCATAAGCTTGTTGTGGTCATTGCACTATTTCAAGTCGCAGAGCCACTTAACAATGGGTGGGCAGGAATGGCCGATAGAGCCAGCCTTCACTAAGGCGAGCGATAGTGAACAAAAGAATAACCAACTTTTATTTGAAAAATAATTCTTAAATAGCCCTTAACCTGACTAAGCACACCTATCACCCCTTTCACTTGCCATTCACACACACAATCATAATACTAGCTTACTATTCACATGCATAATCCTAAACATTAAATGATAAACTACTCTTTACTACCAGTTATTTGCCATCTTAAGAAAACAATTACTATAATCAGTTAAGAAACACCTATCATAGATTTACCCACAATACCTGCATTCAACAAGAAACAAATGCTATAATGAACATGACCATAAAAGGTTACAACTAAAACAATACATATGATTTTCAAAGTCATCTGATCTCACAATAATGAATACTATGTTACTTCGTTGACAAGCTTATCAATAATACACATTAAATTAGAAATTTTCGCCTATATGAAACAAATATTTCTTGCAAAATTTTAGCATAACCCAAACTATTCCTAATGCTAGAACTAACCATGCTCTAATTTTAAACCGAGCTAATTTTTGTTTTATAATTAATCTTACATATTATATATAAACTAATAAATTTCTTTCGTCTATATTTATTTTTAGATAAGTGATAGAACCATTACACAATATGTAACAAATATGAGTTTTATCTTAAAATGACTTACAGTTGTACCAGACAGCCATAATACTCTTAAAACAATTCAACAAAGGAAAGAATATATACAAAAGATCTATAATGAAAATATTAACATTTATAGAGATATGGTCAATATTGATGAAACTGGCTTTAATTTACATTTTTCAAAATCAAGGGGTCATGCACGCTGTGGTCGGCCTGCTATTCATAAAGTCGTAAGTAACAGAGTGAAAAATATCTCTGTTATTGCTGCAATTAATGAGAATGGGATTTTGCATTATAAGTCTATTTTAGGTTCAGTAAATTCAGAAATTTTTGCCACCTTTATTGATAAACTTCTTAGAATTATTCCAAATAGGAAATTTTTAGTAATGGATAATATTTGTTTTCATAAATCAGATATAGTTAAAGAAATTGTTGAAGATACTACATACCAAATTTTATATCTACCACCTTATTCACCTTTTTTAAATATGATTGAAAATTGTTTTTCAAAAATTAAAGATTCCGTTGCTAAAAATTATTTAAAAGATCAAGAAACAATTTTAAGTAGAATGAACAATGCATTTAATATTGTTATGAATGAAGATTGTGAAGAATGGATAAGGTATATTTCTTCATACTTTCAACATTGTTTAAATAGTGAAATTATCAATGTCTAATTAAATGCAATATAATAAATTTTTTTAAAATAAAATTATACAATATTAGTAAAATGCTAAACTATAAATGTTATATATATAATATAAATAATATAATAATATTTATCATAACAATTACATGATATTATTGTCCAGAGAGAAGTGGAGGACTCTTAAATTCTATGCATAGTGATACAAAAGTTATGTTTTTGATGTACTTGATATTAAAATATCAAAAATGTAATTTTGAATTTTCTGTCCGTCCGATCATATGATATGCACTATAAATAAAAATATCACATAATTTATCTGATTTGGCACTGATTTTATCATATGTATAATAATTAGCACAAATAATATTTCATAGGCAGAAGTTCGTCCGATGGTTAATAAATTCTATTGAATTTACATTATTTATACAGTTTAGAATACTTTTAAAAAAACGAAACCAATTATAACAAAGTAAAAAAAAAAAGCTTATAAAAGGTTTCATTAGAGTTGTAGAACTTCATAGTCAAAAATAAGATCTAATTCTTACCTATTTAAAAACAAATTAGCTTAATAATAAGTTGATTTTATCAGGTTTTGAGAAGTTATTACTATATCAACTTTTAAATAAATGAGAATTAGATCTAATTTTTGGCTATAAAGGCCTACAACTTTAATAAAATCTTTTATATAGCTTTTTTTTTTATTTAATGATAATTAGTTTTCGTTTTTTAAAAAGTACTCTAAACTGTATAAATAATGTAAAACTAAATTAAATTTATTAGCTAATCAAACAAACTTCTGACTATAAGATAATATTAATTTTATTCTTTAGCTTCAACTCATATCAGTTTCTGATTTCTAGTATAGCATAATTATTGAGAATAAAAGTAATTTTTTGATTAGAAATTTTTAAGTCTGTTAATAAATTACTTATTAATCATTTATGAATTTTATTTATAAATTTGTACCTAATTGTAACCTAATTACTTATAAATTTTTTGAATATATATACCCAATTGTGATCTAATTACTTATAAATTTTATGTATATATACCTGATTACTTATAAATTTCTGTTCGTATATACCTAATTGTAACCTGATTACTTGTAATTTTTTGTATATATGTATCTAATTGTAACCTAATCACCTTGTTATTACTAATTACTGTGTTTTAACTAGATATTTTTGTTTATATAAATTCAAAAACAGAATATTATATAATCATGCAAGAATTATTGTACTGCAAAACAATAATTTTAAAAGTTTTCTTTTTTAATACTATAATATAATGCACTAAAGTTTTTTTAAAATATCTCAAGATAACAATTATTAAAATAAATGATTTTTATACTATTTAAATTGTTTTATCGAATAGTATTTAAATTATTTTAATTAAAACTTTTAACTACAAAATATAAATAAGATTATTTTTTAAAAATTTAATTGGCAATAAAGCTTAAATATATTAGAATATCTAATCTTCTTTTATATCTTATAAATAATTGTACTAAGCATTTTGTAGTATAATTTATTTTTTCAAACTAAATAAATTTTATTATATATACATAATTTTTTTTGGTTTAATACTATTATTACAAATAAGATATATATTTGGGTTTTAAGTCTAAATTATGTAGAAATGTCAATTTTCAAACCCAAATTATGTAGTAATATTATAATTCAAATAACAGGTTTGGGTAGAATTACTAATAATAATATTAAATTAGTTGTAAAAATAAATATAAAAAGTTTTAAAAAATTTATTTTGAAGATAAAAATAGTCCTAAAGTTAAAATAATAACCTAAACATGACTTAATAATATTAATATAAATTCAGGTTTAAAAAGTTTAAAATAGAATATTCAAACAAGAGTATTAGATATAGCAATTAATAAAAAATCTTCTGATGAACTTCTTAAATAAGTAATATAAAAAGTTATACATATAACTAATTATACACTTTTTCTGTAATAGTTTATAAAATTATATTACTAAAAAAGTTATTAATAAAAATTAAAAGATCAAAGAGATTATCTTAATATTAAAAAAAAAAATAAAATAAAATAAAAAGATTAGAAAAAAGTAGATAAATAATATTAAAAGCAAAAAGAAAACACATGTAGAAGAAATTAATAATCAGAAAATAGATGTATTTTTACAAAATAAAAAAAATTTTTTTTTAAAAAAAATTCTTTTTGTTTAAAAAAAAAAAATAAATAAAAAAATAAAATAAAACAAAAGATAATACAAAAAGTTTTAAAAAAAAATAAAATAAAGAAAATAAAACTAATATGTTATAATATTAACAGACTTAAAACTAAAAGTTTTTTTTTTTTTTTTAATCTTAAGCAGTTATGCTAATACTTTATTAAGATTCTTGAAACTATACATTTTTATAATTATATAGAATTTCCCAATACCTAAGTCTAGCATTACTCAGCCACCCAAATAGTACCTAAATGCAATCTGCCACACTATCTCAGTTAGAGATAGACTGCCTGTTTAACTACTTAAAGCCATACCAGAAGGGTCTTTCTTCTTCTGTGACAAGTATGTCAATTGTCTTTCAAACTTCTTTTTTCACTTGATTCAATTTTTCTGCTTTTTTTTCCTTTTCTTCTTCTTTTGCTTGCTTGTCTTTCTTTGTTTTTTTTTATGGTTTTCTTCTTATTCAAGCACTTTTCTTCATTTTGCTTGTTATATTGGTCTTTCTTTCCTATTTCTGCATTTTTCTATATTGGACTCTTCATATTTGGTCATAAAATATATTCTATACTGTTCTTGTTACTATATCTATACATTTTTGCATCATTTGTTTGCTTAGAATCCATTTGAGTCTTTTCCCAACCTTTGTCGTAACTAGTCCTTTTATCATTGACTTTCTGTTCATAATTTCCTCTGCTTCTGTTTTTCCAAATATCACTTTGTATAGGACTAGTGATGAAATTCTGTCTTTTTTACTTTCTTTGAGGCTATTTCATACTGTTGTTGTTGTTACTTTTTGAATCCTCTTTCACAAACTTTTTTGTTTACTGTAGTTTGCTAAATATGCTTGAGTTTCCTTTTTATCTTTTTGACAAACTTGGCAATCTGTTACTATATAAATCTCTGGTCTTCTTCTATTTAATTCTTCTAGTATTGGTAAACTGTTCATTATGTATTTGATTGCTGTTGTCCTTCTCATACTAAGTTTCTTTGTTGTATAGTGCACACCTTTTGTTCTATTCATCTCTTTTCAAAAACTTGATCAATTATGTTGTGTATTTCTGTTTCTGGTTCTAATATTTGGATTAGGTATATTTCTTTCCAACTGGCTCCAATTCTGGCATTTATTACTATTTTGCAAAAAAGTCTTGTTGGTATATCAACCTTTTTGTTTTTCTATTCCAAGTAGTACTCTACTCTTCTGTACTTAACTTTCTCTGCAGATATTGTCTTATTACATACTGCTTCTTTCTTTACAAGTACATCTGTTCTGTTATTTTATTTGTCATTACTGTGGCTTTTGACTTTAACCAGTTCTATTTTGATGTTTTTGCTTTTAACCAGATCTACAATGTTTATTAGTTATATCATATTTTTCTTTTTCAAAACTCTGACATCACCTGTGTTTTGAATTGCTCTGCTAATGTTTCTTAATGCTGCTAGGCTGTTTGTATATACTACTATAGTTTTCTTTTCTGGTATCATTAAAATTGCTAACTATATTGCTGCTAGCTTAGTTGTTGTTACTGAAGGCCAACCTTCGAGTCTCAATACTATCTCTTCTTCTGATCAATTTCTTCTGTTTTCAACTTGCACCCAGCCTATACCCATCTTTTCTAGACTATTTTCACTTCTTTCTCTAAATAATGCATCATCTGTATAACAGGTATACTTGTCTTTGTTTCTTATTATATTTTTCATAAGAGCTTCTATTAAGTAAGTTGTAATTTCTCTCTTAAATTTTTGTTTTTTAATTAGTTCTATCTCTAATCCTTCTATGTGTTCTAACTCTGTTAATTCTTTTTCTTTTTTCTTCCATTCTTTCATTAATCTATTTTCTAATAATTGTTCTATTATTGCATTGATTTTGCTATTGTTCTTTTCTATTAGCGCTTCTGGAATTGCTTTAATACTATTGCTCTATCTGATCTACCTTTCATATGTACTTGTTGTTTGTTCTGATTTGCTTTTACAACCTTTGCATTTTTTTATTTCTGTAAATGTTTTGCCTTCTATTTCTTGCAGTAACCAATGCTCTATTAAGACTTTTTTCTCTTTCTTCTTTAAAATCTTGCTAAAGTGCTAGTTATGCTTCGGTCCATGTACAATTCACTCTTTCTTTCTTTTGTCTTCTAATACTATCATCTAGTTAATCATTAGTGCTTGGATGTTAAAATCACTAATTTTGAATTGATCATGTATTTTTTTGCATGTTTGTGTTATTAGCACTTTTTCTTCTATTTTACTAAACTATTTGGCTTTCTTCCTTTTGCATAATAGTCCTTGGAAGCTTTTTAGCTGTCTTTATATAATTAGGTTCTCACCTTTCACATCTATGAGCTAATTCAGATAAAACAAACTTTATTCATTTATTGTACAACTGCTTGCTATCCAAGTTTTGGTTTCAACTAGGTCTTTTATTTTTATCCTGTATCCAAATACTTTCTATAAGTAATTTTTTGTTTTAATGTTAATTCTCATTTCTCTTGCTTTGGCTATTGTCTGGCAAACTAGATTGTGTCTCCAGAACTTTGATTTTTCTGGTCTTCTTTTAGTATTTAATATATCTTTTGTTAGGCCTGCTTTTTGGTATTCTTGAGCTATTCTGAGTCTTGTTAAATCATCTAGGCTATCTTTCCTATTAAGTCTCATGAATAAACTACTTATTTGCTTTGTCACTATCTCTTAACTTAGCGATTTATAGTTTTTTAAATCTTTGTGCTCCATTATACAGTTGTTTGTAGTTTTTATCATGTTGCACTTATGTTT